GAAGCTGTATGAAGAAACACGCAGGTATATCATCTTGTTCTTCGTCTTCTTCTTCTTCTTCCTGGTCTTCTTCTTCTCCTCCTCCTCCTCTTCCATTCCCCTGCCTCATTTGCAGTGATTATGTTATCAGGGCGCCCAGGCAAAAGGGTGGAGCAACCATAATTTCAGTGCGGGATTAGGCAGAAATAACGAGGTCACCAAGTTACAGTTGCCATGGCAACGACACATCCAAGAACACAGGATGCCATTGCTTAAAAAAATACAAGAAACAGGGCCCAGGGTTTTTCCTCTCTCTCCTTTCCTCCCTCCTTTCCTACTCCTCCCTCTTCATCTTTCTTTCTCCCATCCTCTCCTTCACCCTGTCTCTGTTATTATTATTATTATTATTATTATTATTATTTAGGCGGAGCGGAGGGGAGCAGTTCACTTTCACTCCCTCTGTTTTCCAAAGCCTTTTGTTTCTGAGCATATTCAGAATAATAAATTCACCGTTGGATGCATTTGCATCTTTCTGGTATTCATATTTGGTGGGAGGTCTGTTTCCTCTCATTTTAACATGGCTGTACTCGCTCTATAATGCTCATTAGAGCACATCCCTCCTCACCCTCCTCACCCCTTTGCCTCCATACCTCCCACAGTCTTGTTCAAAACTCCAAGTTCTCCACATTTTTTTTTTTGGCAGAATTTTGTTTTAGGGGAAAACTATGTGAGCTGATTGAAGTCAGGAAAAGTTGAGAAATAAGAAGGAATGGCTCCTTTTTTGAGGGGAAGCAATTTAACTGGCGCCTCTGCTTCAGCATCGATTTGGACTGACGTTGCCAGAATCTTTTGGCTTCTGCTCAAACAGATATCCATCCCCATCTCACACCTGGATGCTGGTAAGAGCAGAGCCCAGAAAAACCAACTCAATACTATGCAAAGTCTAAAAATCAGCAGCACCCGGTCCAGCACTATTGATTGTCTTTGGGATGATGCCGATTACACAAAGTCTGTGGGGAGAATAGTCTGTAGATGATACACAGACACTGCCTGAACCTGGTCAGGTAAACACCAGGGATAAATTAAGCACTGAACCATGATCTGTGTGTCCAGTTGGCTGGAAAGAGCTGAAAAGTCTGTAACATAGTTGCAGTGAACCTCACTGGATAACACACTTTTAAGAAAAGGTAATGAGGACACAACCTGCTGAGGAACATTCTGCGGTTTTCACTTTAATTTGTCATACACCCAAATTGGATTGTATACATATACCATATGTATATGCACACAGTAGTGGAGGTATTCAGAAGTGTTATTTAGCAATAAAACAATGTGTAAGTCCTGCATTTTGTAAGTAGCTTGGACATTATACTGAAGTGTCACACTTGAGCAGATGGACTTAGTTACCTTGCAATTGTAATTCACTTATCACACACTATACCATAACATCCATCCATCATGTTTTGTTTCACATTGTATTTTAAAGTTGTGAAGGTAATATTGTTTTATACTGTCCTTTACGTTAAGCCCCTCGTTTGGCATACAGAAGGAGAATACAAACATCACTAAGTGGTTTATAACACACTATAATATAATCTAATGATGCTGTACCATCATGTTTAAGTATATTTTCATTGTCAACAATTATAACTTCTCCTATGACGACAGTCTCCACATACTGTATGTCCACAGGAGTTGTTGACAAAAACAGTTCATCTTCATTATAAGGTGTTATTAGCCATTTGTGTGTGCGTGGTATTATACACAGATACAAACCTGTGGCCAAGTTAGAGGCTTTTATATGCTGGAGTTCACCTAACCTGCATGTTTTTATACCGAGAGGAATCCAAAACACCCGGAGGAAACACAGAGATTTAGACACAGAACTCAGCAGAAGACAAATTTAGATATTTAGATTGTTTAAAAGTAAAACTGAAGACACACACATAAACTTTCTGATATATTAGTTAACCTGTCATGGGTTCCCAGAAATAGAAGTTGCATAAAAGAAAATAGAAGTAGCAATAGCAGCAAGTAATTACCATTCAAATGATATTATAGTTTGTTATAATATCATGGCTGTGATGCGAGTATTAGTAAGAGTTATTTTCATTATGCTTTGGCAATATTGTCCTGAACAATCAGGAACTGAATTGATTTGAACTGAACAGTAGTTGTGTTGCAGTGGCAGCAGAAGAAGCAACAGCTGTTTGCAGGTGTTTTCTAATAGTTATAGTCGTTGTGGTACAAGAAGTAGCAGATGTAAGAAACTTTTTTAAAAGGTCCAGTCTGTAGCTTCTTGACCACATAAACTTGTTCACATAGTGCATTGTGTTTTTGTTGATACAAAACTACTGGTGTACATAAACATTTTACATCATAAGAAATCACAGACATCTTTTAAGACTTTGTTTTTGTGCGGTGTTGGGTTTTGTATTTCGACATGTGTCAATCAAACTGTGAATGACAGCTGGTTCACATTTTAGCTTATTTGTAGTAGAGTAAACTGAGATGTGTTCAGGGGAACCAACCAAGAAAGTAGCATCGTGACAAACTAAATATACAGGCAAACAGCATACAATAATATTCATATACAAATATAATCAATGTCTTGCTGAAGGCAAAGGCAAAGCTTAAAATACAGTATTTAATTTGCTGATGGTCCAGTAGCAGACGTGGCTAAACCTAAACACAGTGGTGAAACAAACCATACTGTAGATAGATCCTTCCTGAATCTGCCTTACAGCCTCATTACAGTTGCACTATGTCATTAAAAACAACTATATCAGTACAAATAAATGTTTAGATGTTTTAAACATGTTTCAAATGATAAAATCTTTTCAAATTTTAGAAATAACCTTGTGCATCCAAAATTAATCAGCCCTGCTGGAGCTGCTGCGTGTGTTGCACTATGAAGGTGCAGGGGAGGCATCCAGAGCCCCAGAGATCACCACAGCTTCTCTCTGCCCTCAAACACTGTTCCAGTCTGGCTCTTAAAACACTTTCTTTATTCAGCACTGAAGCTATACCATAAACTTTTTCCACTGCCCACTCTCTTATTTTCAATTCTCCAGTGGTTTAAAATTGATCCTTGAGACTAAATAGAGCAGCTTTAAATACACGTGTGGATTTAATTTGAATTAGAAACAGCGCAGTGTGATTTTCTGTTTTGTATGAATAGCAGAGGAATATTCATTGTGTTTGGTTTCTGGAATATTCGCTCTGCCTCACATCAGGTAGCAAAGAGAGATGGGCTGTGTGTGTGGCAGCCCGGTCCTCTTCTCATCATCTCCACCACTGACTGTGTTCCCATCCGAAGCTCGACACCCGGTCCCAGTGTTACTCGTCTGTTCATTTCTTGGTCACTTGCTTTACACTGTAAATAAACTTGCACTGCTTGCATCGAAGTCAGCCACCTGGGTCCGTCAATTTTTGTGACTCGCTCACTTCCGTGTTCGAGCTGATCTAACATTGTGCATAAAATGGGGTATAGGGATCACACCAATGTAGCTTTCATACAGTCTAAATTGTTACAATTTTTCAATTTAGTGGGATATAAGACTGCAGTGTTTATGTATAAAGCCAAGAACAATTTATTACCTGGTGGAATTCAAAAACTATTTAATGAAAGGGAAGGGGGATACAATTTAAGGGGTCAGTTAAATTTAAAAATTCATGCTATACGTACAACCAAAAAAAGAGTTTGTATTTCCATAAGTGGGGTAAAACTATAGAATAATTTAAGTGTGGACATAAAAAATTGTAATAGAATTGACGAGTTTAAACGTAAATATAAAGGTATGTGTCA